TTTAAGGTTAAGAAAATTTTATCTCTCACAGATTCAATATTTCTGTTTTATCTGCCTTACAAACAATTTTAAAGTAAGTAAGAGTTGTAAGAATTAGGGTTTTTTTCCCCCCCTTCTAGTCTCATGGCTATAGTTGTGGCAAGAGATATTTAATCTGTCAGAAGGGTAAGATGTGCCCTCTCAGTGGACAAGTGGTAGGGTAGACCAACTGGTTTGATAAATGATGCAGGTCAGACCTACATAAGTATTAGTTAACATGCGAAAATGTCTCCATAGAGGCTGGAAGGATCGCTCCGTAGGTAAAATGCTTCCTGTGCAAGTATGAAGACCTGTGGTGAAACCCCAGAACCAAGGAAAGCTGTGCCAAGAACTCAAATCTTTAATCCCAGTGCTTCTGCGGGGAGATAGGAGGCAGAGGACAGAATCTTTAGACAGTCATAGACCAACTCTCCTGGAACAGAGTGGCAAACAGCAAAGAGATACCTGTCTCAAGGTGGAAGGCATCTGACACTCAGAGTTGTCCTCTGACTTTCATATTTGACACCTTTATGCACACAAATGATATACTTGGACGGACACACACACACACACACACACACACACACACACACACACACACACGTTAATTAATGCCTACTGAGAGAAAGAATCAAGTCTTTTTCATGGATGATCCCCTTACACCTTATACCCAATACCTATACCCTTATACCTTTAACTTAATACCTAATACCAAGTAATCAGCCCTGAAAATTTATACATGAGCATATCAGGGAGAGGTAGGGATAGGTTGTGTGTGTCAATAGTCATTAATTAAAGAGCCATGAACTTGGGGGGGGTGCACAGGAGGAGTTGGGGTGGTGATGTTAATACAGTGCTCATGAATTTAAAAGACTTAAAAATTAGCAATGGATTTTAAAGCATATAACTTTTAAGATAGGTGAGCAGGTATGTAACTTCCATGCTAATGGGAAAAGGAAATATATATTTTGTTGTGCAAATTTTCCTCATCATGAGAAAAGGAGAAGGGGCAGAAAAGAAAAAGCAACAAATAAAGTTAGGATATGTAGAAAGCACATATTAGTAAGATAGTAGATAAAATCATGTGGTGCAAATAGGGTCATTTAAATCACAAAAATTGATAAATTTTTGTTCATTTAGGTACTTCTTACAGGAATCTAAAATTAAAAAGATTAAAAATAATATAGTCAAGAAATACACAGTACGGAAAGACAAGCAAAAATTTTGTGTCTTTATTAATAGCAATGTAGGATTAATGGCGGGAAGCCATTAATGAAAATAAAATACCTACTACAGAATGATAAGATTTTTACATTTGTACATGTCAAATAACATAACTTTGAAAGACATAAAGCCAAAATAAAAGTAGAAGGACAAGTAAACTTAGGTGTAGCGCAGTGGTAGAGCACTTGTTAATGTAGCTGAGGTCCTGAGCTGGATCTGCAGCATAAGAACAGCTAACAGACATAATCATAGCAGACTGTACATCATTTCCAAGCACCCATTTAATATTAATGAAAACTTGACTGTGGGGGCAATTACAGACATGGCTCAGTGAGTGGAGTGCTCGCAAAAGCGAAAGGACCTGAGTTTGGATACCTAGCACCCACATACACAAAAGCTCCATGTGGGAGAAATAGACTAAGACAGTCAGATCCTGAGTGGCTTGCTGGTCCATCAGCCTCAGTGAATCTTTGAGCTTTAGATTCAATGAGAGATCCTTTCTGAGGAAATAAGGTAGACAACAATAGGAGATACCTAGTCTTGCATCCACATGTGCATGTGTGGATGAGTGTAAACACACACACACACTTTTATTTTTAATTGACTAAATCCTATGTCTGAACAAATCCAGGTCTGAACAAACATTAAAAGTTTGATAATTTATATAGTGTGTATATATATTAATATATATATCTAAAGTATAGGAAGGTAGAAATCAAACGAAAGATAATTGGGAAATTCTTACATTTTTGAGAAATCATTATATATTTTGTAGCATTTAGAAAGCATGCAATAAGGAAGTATCTATTTTAGAGTTAGAAAACCAGATTAAACCTTACAGGAAGAAAGGAAAGAAATAAAAAGCTAAGAAGAGATATCAAAGGAAGAATGTATGAAATGAAATGAACCAAAGTAAATTAATAAGCAAACCCCAAAATGGCAGTTTCAGTGAATCATTTACTGAACTTTTACCTTTGCAACTGAGTTCATTAGAGCAACTGTGGTTTGTGTCTGCAGTCAGCTTGTGGACCCACTAGGTGGTTCTTCAGATAAACACCTCTGTCTTTTAATTAATACAACATTTCTTCTATTGCATTGTACTTTCAAAACAAGTCACAGTGTTATTCTAAATTCTAGAGGTCAACAAAGGTACACATTTATATTACAAATAAAAAAGAATATAATGAGGCTTGGAGAGTTGTAGCCATTTTATTTTAAATGAAATCTACTCCAGGGAGCAAAACTAGCAGTCGATGTCTTGGAAGACTGGTAGCATAGATAACCAGGAATAAAAAATCCTGATCATAGGGCTGAGAAGATGGCTTAGTGGGTAAGAGTATTTGCTGTCCTTTCAGAGACCCTGCACCCACAGAGTGGTTCACAACCATCTGTAGCTACAGTTCCAGGGGAACCGGCATCCTCTTTTGGCCTTTTCTAGGCACCATACCTGAACATGGTGCGCAGACATACATGCAGGCAAATACTCATACACATAAAACAAGCAAACACTGGGATTAACAAACACTTAAATAAATTTCATTCTATAAATTTGATTATTTAGGGAATATAGGCATATTTGTAAGAAAGACCACCACAGTACATCAAAATGGATAATACTAAGGTATAAAAATATCAAAATTAATGAAGCAGAGTCTATCACCAGTGAGTTCTAATTGGTTTTTAAGAAAAAAAATAGTATTAATTTCATATAAGCTCATCCAGAGAGTTGGAAACATTCCAACATGTTTGGAGGCCTGAATAACCTTAATGTCTAAACCTGAGGTCCTTATTATGAGAGAAGAAAATTATAAATAAGTTCCATTCCTGATTGTATTTTTATTTTTGTGTATATGAAATTTTTTTTTTTTTTTTTTTTTGCCTGCATGTATGTCTGTGTACCACATGCATGCCTGGTTCCTGGGGAGACATAAGAGGGCTTTGGATCCCTGGGACTAGAATTATGGATGATTATGAGCTGCCATTTGAGTGCCAGAAATTGAACCCAGGCTTTCTGGAAGAACAGCCAGTGCTAACTGCTGGACCAGTGCTTCAGCCCCGTGAATGTACATATTTTTAAATCAGCCACCAAAATGTTGGGAAACTGAATCTAGTAGGGTATAAAAAGAAAAGTAAATGTATAATATCCAAGTTGAGTCTGTTGCAGGGATCTAAGATTAGTTTAACATTTAAAAATATTAGTAACCCTCTGATCTGACGAAGTATGTAAGATGCTTAGATCACCTAGAACTTCATCAGCCTTGGTCTTGAAACTAGTAGCAAGTTGAGAATGATACACATTTGCTTGTGTACTCAGGGTGTGCTATGTGAGAAGTAAAGAAAAATACATAGTTGGAACAGAAAAAATATGACTTATGATTTGCAAGTGACAATGGCAGTTTATATAAGTCCCCTCCCCAGGGAGCCCCCCAGAACAATTATGAAAATCAGTAATCAAGAAACAGTGTTTCTGGGTAAAGATTGATAAAGAAAATGAATTACATATTCACATTTTAGAAACAAAGTGGATTTCAAAAATATATGCAGGCTGATAGGAACACTTAAGTTTTTAGAACCAGCTTAAAAATAATAAAGGCACAACAAAAAAGCTTTTACATTCTTGAGATGAAAGAAGGTCCAACTAAATGAAGAAATTAGGCCATTATTCATGGTTTTAAAGTTCTAGTAGTTGATCCCAATGCATTCTCTAATGAGTATCTAAAAAATTAATGAAATATATGCTGTAATGGAAAAATGGAAAATACAGTTGCACCAGACAGTATAGTATGATGTAGTAGGAATTAATAGATTAATGGAATAGAAAGCCCCAAATACTGACGTGTACTCGTATGTAGCTTAGCGATGGGGTATGTCCTGAGAAGTGCATTGTTTGACAATTTTGCTGTTGTGTGGATGGCATAAAATATACTACAGACCTAGGTGATATTGATTGGTCACCCATCCCATGTGTAAGGCTAATACAAGTGTAATGTTACATGATGTTTACAGGAAGCTAGTTGTTTTTATCTAGTGAGTAGAGGTATGCCCTTCCTAGTGACCTTTAAAATTGTGTAAATATGAATAATAGAAGCTTCTATTGAGGGATGGTAAAGCTTTGTTTATATAATTACTTTTGTCACTGACTTTTTCATAAAAAGTTTAGACTCCTTGCCTAAACTTTTAGAAGTATAAGCTAAAAGTGGGACTGGAAGAAAAAAAAGGCAAATGAGGCCTTTTTAAGAAATATTTAAAAAAAAAACATACTCAAGAGTTTTATACTTAGCTTAGGCTAGAATCCTAGTTTGAACATTAATGTTCTAGCAGCAATGTGGAACTGTCACTTACAGAATTGTCTCTGGAGACAGAACTTTTCTAGTTATGAAAGTAAAGCAGGACTCTTAACCAAGTATTATTGTTAAAGGACAGGATGTATTTTGAAGAGAGGATCACGGTTTGTGTGATAGTCAGTGTTTTGTTAACTCTTTACTTTACACTCTGGCTTAGATTATGTGTTGATGGACGACTCAGTAAAATACCTTTGTTTAGCTAGATTGTTCTTTAGAGTTTGCAGTAATACATAAGAAATTCCTCATAAAGCAATGACTTACATCTCATTTGGCAAGAAATAAATGCGTTCCAGGTTTCACTTCTCCTTGGTTCATGTTCAGTGGAGATGGAGTAAGCAAATGCATGTGTATGCTTTCAAATAACTTTGATACAACTTTCAGCAAGTGAATAATATATATTATCTTTCTCCACAGTTTAATTTTGTTGGGAGAATCCTTGGACCTAGAGGACTTACAGCTAAACAACTTGAAGCAGAAACAGGATGTAAAATCATGGTCCGAGGCAAAGGCTCCATGAGGGATAAAAAGAAGGTAAGTCTGTGATAAACAGGCATGTTTTCCAGCATTTTTGCCCCCTTGATTATTAAATCAAGTTCCTCATCTCATAGACACTGTGATCCTCACAGTGAGAACTTTGAAATTGTTTTAAGACATTTTCCTGATTTCCTTGTTACCATTTTAATTCAAGAATTGAAGTATCTAAATATTTATTACTCTAGCATGATAACCTGCTTTGATAACTTAGAATTTAAGAACTGCCAATAAGAATTTGACTACTGTGTTTTATGTAAAAATATGCAACTAAAACTTGAAGAAAAACAAAACAAAACAAAACTGAAGTGGCATTTCGTTTTTGTGATGGAACCCAAGGCCTTACGATATGCCACAGAGTTATAGCACCAGGTCTTTAAGTTTTAGTTGGAGGTCTCATATCCCAACCCCTCCACACTGCTTCGTTGACATTTGACAAAAACATTATGATAGAAATGATGTTTGTTGATGGAATCCTTCACTAAACACAACACATACTGTCTTTTATGGAATTCCCTTGCTAATTTGGTGAATACTTGGCATTGAGTAAGCATTAGAAAAGACACCTATGAACAGTTGGTCCTGTAGTTCAGGTAATGAAAGAATGATATAGATGCACCCCTCCTTGGCTTCCCCCCCAAAGGTTTGGCAAACAATGCTTATAGGCTCTCCCTGCTTTTAATTCTTTCTGGAAGATAGGTAGTAGCATGTAATTCTAAGATGCTGGTTTTAAGCACATGAGTTAATATGTCAATTTAGTTTTCATTTTCTTGCATTGATAATAATTATTATCGTGGACTTATCAGCACTGTTTTTTTGTTTGTTTTAAAATTTAAGTAGTCAGCAGGATGGAGTCATAGAACCCAAGGGCAGGGACTGATAGAATTTGGAATACTAGTAGGTATGTCTTGTCTGTACCAGGAAGCAGTGTCCCAGTACCTTCTTATCTCTGTGGTTGAGTATGCCTGTGGTAACAGCATTGTTAGAAAATATAAGTAAAAATCAGCTACTTTGTGGTAATTTCTTCTGATTTAATTCTGTGTTATTTCCATTAGCTCTGTTCTCAATATTTGACACACACTTGTTTCAGATAATCTGGGTTTTATTATTTACATTTTGTAGGTGAAGAAACTTCTATCAGGGAGGTTGAGCGATTTCCCAGAGTTGACATGCCAGAAAAGTGGTAGTGAGACCTTGAAGCAAGCGGAGCCTGCACTGTGTTGTTCGATGGGTTGGCTGCCTTTTAGCTGTGAACTGTTTCCAGCCGCAGAAACACTGCAGCATTGGAATTCAGGAAGGCAATCTATCGTAGTTTATTAAATTCTTTCAGGCTTTCTTCTTTTTCCATGGGTGATGATAGGTTTAAATATTGCTTGACTTAAGGATGAGAAGAAAGCAAGTTATTTTTCATACTCGGAGAACGCGAAGCACCCCTGATATTAGATGTCTAGGGACTTCTTACACTACAATAATCAGCAGTCAGGTCTGTCAGGAGCATTTACTGATATCATGTAATTTGAGCACTATCTCTCTGGAGATTGTATCAGATTATAGAAGTTATAGAAGTGAACTCCACTGCAGAAGCCAAGCACAGCCCCATCTGTGGTCTCTGTTGAGCTCTAAGCCTTTTTTTCTAATCTCTCTCTCTCAAGTTTGATTAATTTGCTAGAAAGGCCTACCCAGAATACCATTTAGGCTTGGCAGTTTGCTATTAAAGGATATTTAAGAGACAGATAAACAGCTTTATGGAATGGATGTCCAGAGTAAGTCATGGGGAAAGGTGGAGTCTCCATGGCATTTTCTGGGAGTGACACCTTTCAGGCTTTTCTGGTTGTTGAGCTGCATAGAAATTCCCCTAATTCTGTCCTTAAGAGTTTTGTGAGGCTTCTTTGGGGAATGGTAATTGGTGACATCATTGGCCATTGATGGTAAAATCATCCTTTATTTCCTTTCTTTTTCTCTTTTTGGAGACTAGAAAGTATCAGCCTTTTTGGTTAAAATGATGTTAGTTTCCCTGGCAACCCACTCACATGCTGGGACTGTCCCATAACCTTTAGTCATCTATTAACCCATTAGTTGCAAAGAGTCTAAATGAGAGCTCTTTTGCCAAGAAATGAAGAACAGATATACTCATAATGAATCACAGTATCATACAGATTATTTCTCATTTGAAATCTTCTAATTGTGTGTTTAAAAATTAGAATATTCAAATATGTAGTGGGGACAGGACCCGATCTAAACATGAAATTCACCTATGTTTTGTATACCTTTCTCTTATACCTTGAGGGTAGTTGTGTACAACTTTGTGTTGTTCACTTACTTTGTGACTACCATCTGTCACATGGGGTCACTTAGAGAACTTTCTGTTTATGACACGTGAATACTCAGGAATATCTGAGGTATTTTGGAGTACTTAATTTCTAACTAGGTAGCTTCAACTTAGGCAGTAATTCTTTTGATACTAAGTAGTTTAGGAGGAGAAAGTAATAGAACAGAACTGTATTCTGTACATAACTACTTACTGATATTTTAATTACATTTATTTACTTATTTTATATCCTGACCGCAGTTTCCCCTCCTTCCTCTGTACCCATCTCCTCCGCCCAACTCCCCCCTCCCTCACTCCTCCTCTGTTTCTGTTCAGAAAGGGCCAGATCTCACATGGGTATCAACAAAACATGACATATCAAGTTGCAGTATGTACTAAGGCTGGGCAAGGCAGCCTAGTATGAAGAGTAGGTTCCCAAAAGCCAGCCAAAATGTTAAGGAGAGCTCCTGCTCCCACTGCTAGGAGTCCCACAAGTAGACTAAACTACACACTATCACATATATGCAGAGTGCCTAAGTCGTTCCCATACAGGCTCCCTGGTAGTTGGTTCAGACTCTGTGAACTCCTATGAGCCCAAGTTAGTTGTTTCTGTGGGTTTTCTTGTGATGTCCTTGACCCTTCTGGCTCATACGGTCCTTTGACTCTTCAGCAGGATTCCCTGAGATCGGCCTAATGTTTGGCTGTGGATCCACTATACCTGAGTTACTGGATGAAGACTGATGACATTTGGGATAGTCACCAATCCCAGCACATCCCATAGGCGCTTACTAATTTTTGTGGGATGATAGTTATTATAGTGACACAGGAAGTCTTTGTGGGAACACTTTAGATTTCTATTACCAGTCTACAGCTCTATGGGCTCCTCCTTGTTCTAAATGGAAGGGAACAAAGTGTCCACGCCTGGGAATTCCTGCCTCACACCTCATTCTGTTTAGTCAAATCCTGCTATGATTGACATGTTTAAAGTTGATGAAGCTAGGTCAGTCAAATCTGTCTTACAGAAGTTCTCAGACTCAGCAGTTTTAGTTAGATCCTGTTCACTATGAAGGAGGATGTATGGGTGGGGGTCTACCTGTCATTCTAGGACTGCTAATAGCACCAGCCCATGTCACTGTCGTCAATACCTGATTCGGGCTATACATCAGCCTCAAGAGCTAATGAGTGGCATTGGTCCTGTCTCACAGGCTTCGATTAAAGGGGGGTGTAGTAGCCCATTCATTCCCTTGTTTCAAACAAAACATTGCTCTAAATAGAAGGCTACCTATCTCTTTGGGCAAATTCACCTGCACTATATGCCATTTCCTTTCAAAACCACATAAAACTGATTAAAAAAAAACTTTAATTTTTTAAAGTTAACCTTGTTTGTTTGTATATTTGACCATTTGTCTTGTTTTAGAGCTGTGTCCTTTTCTTAAACAAATGGTCATGTACTTCTCAAATGTAATTTTTTTTACATTAGTGAGTTATTAACTTATTTCTTCTGCTTTTTATCTTTTTTATCTATCTATCTATCTATCTATCTATCTATCTATCTATCTATCTATCTATTTTTGGTTTTTCGAGACAGGGTTTCTCTGTGTAGCTTTGCACCTTTCCTGGAACTCACTCTGTAGCCCAGGCTGGCCTCGAACTCACCGAGATCCGCCTGCCTCTGCCTCCCAAGTGCTGGGATTAAAGGCGTGTGCCACCACTGCCCAGCATTCTTATCTAATTTATTTTGTCAATATGGAATACTGTATGAGAGTTGGAAAGTGCCACATGGACTTAGGCAGTCCACTGGGCACTAAGGTGGCACAATGAGTACGAATCATGGTCTTGAAGCCTGGCAACCTTCGTGTGGTCTCCATGGCTCACATGGCAAAGGGAGAGAACTGATTCTTAGAAGGTATGCTCTGACCGCCACACACAGGCATAGTTACTCATGAACAAACACTAAATTTAATTAAAAAAGATTAAAAACCAAGTACATTATTTTAGAAACTACTTCTGACAGTTTGGGATTGTTTTCTAGGTTGTTCAAATAATTTGTTCATATGTACATATCTTTTGTAGAAAAATTGGGCCATGCTATTAGCTTAATTTTAGCTTTCTCCTGCAATGTCATGTTCCATCCTTTTTCATCTTACCATGTTGTTGAGGTATATGCTGAGGGATAGGAAGGTGTACTCAAACAGAATTCCAAATAATAGTATACACAAACTAAATTTCCTCCTTTTTTTTTTTTTTTTTAAAGGAGTGTAAGGGTTGACGGGTTTTATTTTTTTACTTTTATTTTTGTTTTTATGGAGGGTTACTGTTGTCTAAATATTTTGAAAGAGATAAATTTAGTTTTGTAGTTGATACACTACTTCATTTGTTCTGAAGAATTCCCATGGATTTTGCTAGTTACATCTTCATGATGGATTAACGTTTGTCTCTTGTCTTAATGCCGTTGACAGCTAGTGGCACAATTATCTAACACAAATACAGCTCCAAAGAACTAGTTTTATTGATTTTGTTGAGTACTCTATTTTTAGTAAATAATACTTTAAGCACAGATATGATTTATTTATTTTTTAAGCATCTTTTCACTGGAAAAAAAATGGAAACAGGGCAACCAGCGGCCTGTCCATGAATTAGCACCACACACCACTTGTCTTTTCAGGAGGGCTCTTTCTTACCCTTCCTGTTC